TTTGATCACTGCAGGACTTCTCTCTGCAACATCATCGCTGCCAGCCTGTATAACCAACAGCGGGTAGTAGTCCGAAGGCCGTACCAGACCAGGGAGTTTCCTAGTAATGTCTCTGACCCGGGCCCCAGGGAGGCAGCAGACTTCCCTGTGGGACAGGTCCGGTCTTGCCTTCCTCACCTTCAGGCTATTGTGGACTCTGAAAGCACAGGCAACTGGGGATGAATCAGAAAATGATGATTCAGTTCCTGTGCTAAGACTGGGCTAGAGAACTTGAGCTTGCTTTCTTTACCTATTTCTCAAGTTTTAACATAAACGCAAGGCCAAGATCCTTAAAATCTGCTAGCACTAAAGTAGCTAACTCCTCACTGACTCGCTGGGATTAGGCATCTCATCTTAGTGGAACTCTCCAGGCTTTGGGGATAAGAGCATTTCCCTCACTTGTGGAGGATAAAGACTGCAAGGTGCTGAAGGCCCGTTTAAATAAATTGTCAAATTATGGTCAAGTGAATCATAAACCCTGATTTATCTCCCTGCCAGAAATAATCCCACCAGAGTCAACACTTGTAACTTCTCAGTTAGAAGTGCTGCTACTGTTGTCCCCACCTCCAGAGGTCGGTGGCACAGTAACTTCCTTGCAGTGAGAGGTTGCATACTGTCTGGACATTCAGTATAGGGCTTCTACCTCATACCACACTACACAATTGGTGTCCAGACTAAGAGGCTTTCTACTGTAGGAAAAAAGCTAAATGAGGGCTTGGCTGGGAGCCCAAAGAAATTCATAACCCTTATGTGCTGAGAATACTTTTTATTCCTTGTGATCTGTTTTACGATGTCACATGTGAAGAACTGGAATGGGAAAGGATGCTGACTGGTATTAACATTACAAATTTAATTAACCTGGGACTTGCTGCTGCTTCTCTTCTTCTAAATCATAGAGCTGTCATTGCTTAGCTAGGTATAGTAAATTTTGCTGTAGCTCTGCAGCTCATATGTGTGTCTGCTCTGATTCACAAATTACAAAGAAAAAATCTAGATGGGTGGATAAATTTAAATATTAATTCATTAGAGCTGACTTCAAAAATAACAATTTGTCTGAATAATTATAGTTAGACTATTAATGTATATATGTCAGTGACAGGCGTGCTGCTGAGAAGGCATTTAACTCCCATCAGGGATCTTTTCCAATGGTTGCATCTTGGATCAATCACAGTTTTGGCCCTTGCAGATAAAGTCATTCTCCCTACTCTGGGATGTGGTAACTGTTTGCAGGGATGATCCTTGCCTCAGCAAAGGAGGAGTGGGGGCTGGAGGGACCTTGTCACTTCCCACAGGTGTAGGATGTGGGGCCATCGCAGCCTTGAGGAGCTCCCATCTGGCAGAAAGCAGAGTGCACTTCTCTGCAGCATAGGTGCTCCAGAAGCCTGGAGAAGAGAAAGCTCAGGGTGCTCCGAACAGCAGCCTTCCAAAACCTGTGAAGAGGTTATCAGGAAAACAGAGCCACGATCTTCAGTGGTGCCTTAGACACCAAGCTGGTGTCTAAGCAGATCTTGTGGGTAAAAAGCTGTCTGGGGACCACTGATGGATGGTCACCAACTGAGCCTTCTGCCCACCTCTGTTGCGGATGGACACTTCACTCCTGGATCTCTCTGGGACTCTGACCTGTATAGCTAGCTGCAATTTAAGTCACACTTTTCAAGGCTTTAGGAAACTTTGTCCTAGTGTTACATGGCAGTAAAGATGTCATTAGGATCCTGTTTCCCTTGTGATTCCTAGAAAGGGTGGAATTCTGCTCTGTCCTACTAATCAGAGGTTTCTGGGGATTTGGCTTTGTGGGTATTTCGGGATGTTTTATAAGAAAAGTTACTTTAGAAAGTAAGACTTTATAAGGTAAAATCTTAATAAATCTGTTTGCACTTTGAAACCTAAATTGAAGACCTGTTTTTTAAAATTGCTTTCCTGTGGGGAAATGTAATTTTAACTCTTTTGAGGCAATTAAGAGGTTATGGGCTTTTGTAGTTAAAGCTCAACATCAGTGTAGCTTGGCATGAAAATGCTATTCATTAGAGACAGAATATATATACATTTAACTACTATTGTAAAGGATTAGAGTATATTGTTCATACTTAGGCAAATTCTCATGGCACATGGTGGATCTACAGATAATGGTACATCCTCTCCAGCCACATCATATAGGACTTTGTTCAGCAGAGGACTTAAGTACACAATCCTGAAGTCAAGTTTCTCCCCAAGTACTTATTACTTCATTTAGAAAGCACATATGTAGGAATTAAGATAGACTGAGAAGTGATAATTGTGGTTTTGTAAGGGAGACAGCCCTTGGATCCAAGTGTTATGAAAGATCCTGCACTGAAAGTGGAGAATAATCACAACAGAAGCTTTTTCAAGTGAGGGGAGAAAAAAAGACATATTTTTCCACAGAATAAAAGTGTAAAACCAGCAAGTGAAAAGGGCAAGACTGAATGTCAGTGGAAGCGCATTCACTGCACAAGCAGCAAAGCCTTTCTTTGCATGAGAATTCAAGTTATTCTTTTTAGCTTCAGCTAAACAAAAACTCTCAGCAGCTAAGAATAACTTTGCTAATACAGTCATAAGAAAATACCAAAGAGAAAACAACATGAAAGAGGAACTGGAATGAGTGACAGGCTATTAAAGAATGACTGAATTGCTAATGTTGTTTTATAACAATGAGGTTTTTAAAAAAAACATGGAGGAAAGATTGGGAAAACAATGAAAATCTTGTGATAATGTTGATATAAGCTTAGACAGGAACATGCCAAGATTTAATGCATACAGATCAGCCTGTCTGGCTGATGGTCGTTGGAAGTTACTGCTTACACTGAGGACTGTTGTTAGACCCAAGGTACTTTTGAAAAGTTGCCTTAGCCCTTTTCTAAAAAGTGACATAGATCTCTAAGGCTGGAAATGGAACTGCTGTATGGGGGTTACAGGCTTGGAAAACCTGGTACTAAGGAGCATCAGGTCTATTGATTTTGAGAGAGACATTAGAGCCTAACAAACCTGCAATTGAAACTGTGCAGGACTTGAAAACAGCATAGCTGAAAACAAATCCTCAAACGCAGCAGTAATGGAAGATGTAGAGTACAAATCAACCCTACAGGGCTCAAGTCCATCATGAGCAAACCCAAAGTTTCCTCATGAACATCCAGTATGCTACTGTTGTCCAACTACAGACAACACGAAAGGGAAGTATATGAAAAATACTTCCTTTTCAGATGCACTGGTTTCCAGAAGACAGGCGGCCATTCTAGAAACATGGCCTGGCATTCTTTGCATCAAAACTCAAACCTTTAAATTTGGCTATATGAAAATACATTTTGTTTGAGTGAGGCTTTGCTTATGGATGTCTCTGACCAACTACCTACAGTTATTGAGAATTTCAGCGCTGGGAGCATCACGCATGCAGTGTCTCTGATCTGCGTAGTCCCCTCCTTTCCTTGTACTGCTTTTTTGTACAGTGGGTTTGAACAACTCAGTGTTCATATTAAAATATTCTGGTGTTTAGCAATAGAAAGGTGAGGAGGGTGTTCCTTGAAAAGAATTAGAAACAGAGCCCTGAAGGGAGTGTATTCCAAGGAACTGAGAGGACTACCTCTGCACAATTTAAGCAACATTTAAGGAGAGATATCATAATAGTCTGTAAGGACTGCAAGACTGTAAATATGAATGGGGGAATAAGAATTTTATAGGAAGGACCAAAAGATGTCAATTAGTGTTTTAAAATTAAACAAGGGGAAATTAATCTAAGTAGCTGTATAATCATGCTCTGTGATAGATGTTGGAGTGGAAATCCTTTTTAATTAAAAGTGCTGGAAGGGGAAAGGATTAGTTTGATAAATTTTCTAGTTTGGAGAAGAAGTTAGAAACCGTTGAATTGAAAACTACCTATTTTGTGGCTTGTCTTGATTTAATCTTAGAAATTTTAGCTATTTCTAGACTTCTAAAAAGTTTAAAAGAAATTGATAGGTGTTATTCAAGATTATTGAGATTTTGCTTTTTTTTTTTAGCATTAATTTGGAGTGAGAAAACCATTTTCACATCTCAAAAAATGCGCTTGCTCTTCATGATTTCATAATACTTATGCACCGTTGTTCCTAGTGAATTGTATCCTATTTCCCTGGTATCTTTTTTGTATTCTTATCTGTTTTAATATGTGATTTGGTATGCCTCGCTCTGATCTCTTTCAGCCCCATTTGTTTTTCCCTGATCAGTGTTCTGTGTCAGGTACATTTTGCTTTCAGTTTTCATTCATTAAAATGACATTTCTCATCTTCTGCTTCACTGCACTGTTGAGGACTTGCCACTTCTTTTCCTCACCCTCTCTGTTCTTACTCATGGCAAATGAAATAATTAATCAAAGCAAAAATCCTGCTATAGGTAGCTACAAACCCTGCATACGGAATTTGACTATTTCAGATGTCACTTAGAAAAGTGAGGGTTTGTGGCAACATGGAGACACCTTGGCATTTTTATAATGCTTAAGAGAAAATTGGGTATTTATGTCCTTGGGAAAAGGTATTTTGAGGCAAATTCTCAGCTGCTGGAGTGGAGGGGTCTGCGGCACTTTGGCTGAAGATCTGTTGTTTTGCGTTTCTGGAGTCACTTGTCATTAAATGAACATAAGAGTAGAGTCAGGTTCATCAAACCGCACCTGCTTGAATGAAAAATGTAAGCAAGCTGTTCTGAGGACAATGTTTTAGATGCTGCTCTCCATCAGAAATGTCCTACAGAAGGTAAGTGCTCAGAGAAGCGCCACGGCAGACAGGTCTACCACCCCTTTCACCTGGGTCAAAGCATATCTTCTTCTTCTGAACAAGATATTACTGATTTGCTCTCCTACCCTCTACTACTTTGTCTATTTTTAACCAGGTTCAATCTCCTAAAACCTCAGTGACTATTAAATCTGTACTTGGGCCAAACATGTTGTCTGGTGGCACAACAGAGCCCTCCTAAAGTCAGAGTGCACCGCAGTGAGTCTGGAGAGACCAAGTGAAGAAAAGTGGGCAGTAAGTTTTAAATATCTCCAGTGACATACTCCAAAAATCTTCTCCATGACAGGATTTTTTGGATGATTTTCTCCCAGTGTGAAAACTGAAGGTAAGCAAAAATTTAAAACGCTACCACAAAGAAAATGTAAATCTATTGTGAAAACCCTTAGTATGTTTCTAGCCTTATGCCTCAGGTCCCTCTCTGTGGTTGTCTCAAGAAATGAAAACAGAATGTGCCAAGAAAAGAAGGAATATTTTATTATAATATTTCAAAGGTCTTTTTGTTTTGAAAAATTAAACCAAACCATAGTTAAACCTGTGAACCTGAGAAAATGTTGGTGAATTATTTAAACTTTTTTTTCTCATGTTCATAGAAAATTTGCAAACTTATTGTCAGTTTTTCTGATTAAGGAGAAATTAAAATTGAAGTCAAATAACTTTTCTAGCCATTTTGATTGATTTAGTTGAAATTCATTACAGGGTTACATATTGCTGTGTAACAGAAATCGTTACAGAAAAATGTTACAAGGTTATAGGCTATTTTACAAGGAAAACCCAGTACTAACTGGCTGAAAAGGTTGGTTTCGATCTACATATTAGTGCATATAAACTGGGAAAAAGAGTCAAGTGAAGCATAGAAGCAGACTTTGAAACTGCAGTGGTATGAAAGAACATAATAGAACAGGATATTAAATAATCAGATATACAATATCTAGCAGAAACTTAATTTTGTGTAATTACCAAAATAGCAGTTTAGTGTCAAATAATGAATGATATTATAAAAGGATTAGTCTGATACTGTGTTCCAGTTCATAAACGTCACAATTTATTGTTCCATAGCTTACATATTTTCTTAGGTGAGATAACAGTTAATTTTCACTTCTTGCATACAAATCCTTGTATTCATTGACCAGAGAAACAAATGTCTTGCCTTAGAGGTTGTCTAAATTTTATATACCTGAATGAGTCAACAGTGAGACTTTTTCACATCTGTTTTCTATCTTAGCGTTTTCAAAGGGAAAGAACAACTTTTTTGGATCTCCAAGTCTATTTACTGCAGGTCAGATTCTGCCATAAGTAGCAGTTGGCCTTGGGGAACTTTATTCTATGTGTTTTTATGGACTTCATGGAATTATTTGTGGCATGACTTGCCACTCACACTCACTGTGAGCAAGTAGGGGAGCATAAAAGCACAAGGTGTGTTACAGCTTTTGTACTGAAATAAGCCTCACTTGAGAGTTATACTGTACCTTACCTGTGTGATATTATTAGCTACCATTGTTCTCCACAGTGCTGCTACAGATCTTGGAGGAACTGTAGGGACTTGATGCCAGATCTTCAAAACAGCACAGCAAGTACTTGCACACATCAATAACAGTCAAATTTTTATGTTATCTGTGAAGAATATGGAGAGCAGTGGGAATTTTGATGCCAAATGCATTGAATCTGTGGCCTCATGATTTAATGATTCCCACTTCTGTGGGAAATGAGCAGTTCTATATTCCTGGTTCATAGTTAATTTCCAGGTGACTGCTTTCAGAGAATCAGCAGAAAATATGTATTTTTTAATAGGTATTGAATGGTAGGTCATTATTTTAGCTTTATAAGGAACTGTTTTAGACTTCCACAGTGATCTCACTGATTACTACCACATATTGCAGTAAGTAAGGTCTTTTCCCATGCATGAGCTGGTAAGAGTCAGTATTTCAAGTATAGGATACGTGTTCAATAAACACGACTTAAAAGAATTATTAGATATTTATTGCTGTATTCTGCCTGTTACAAAGCAGCGATACTGAAGCCAGGAAGGAAATCCACAGGATTTCCCTTTCTCTCTCATTTTTCTCCTCTTCTCCTTTTGCTCTTTCC